CTGCAAAAATAAGATCTTTGTAACTTGGCTTGGACCCTCACCACTCACTTCCCCCTGGATTTTCTCAAGAACAGCAGTTCCGGTTCCTCCTCAACCTTCACAGCGCCTTTGCGGAAACCTTCTTCCTGAAGTTCCTCCTTCCCAGGACTGCTCTCTTCTCTGCCATTTCTCTAAGTGTTCCCCAACTCCCTGCTCCCTAAACCAGGACTTCCCCGCTTCCCCTTCACTTGGATGTTCCCATGGACACCCTTCCTCTGGTCCCAGCCAGCGGTGGAGCCTCCAGCCCTGGTCTCCTGTTTCCCGGTGACTTCTGACCATCTCCATGGGTGACTCATAAAGGCTTCACACTTGGGGTCTTCCCTTTCAAATGCGTGCTTCTTCCACAATGTCCCTGATCTGGACATGGCACCACCACCCTCCCAGGCAGCACCAAAAAATCGGAACGTCTTTGCCTTTGGCGTTCACTCTGATCCTGTAACTTCATCTTGCCAATAAATGGGTCTGCCTAGAGCCCAGCTCCAATGCACGTGGTCAAGAACTGTCCTTATCTGCCACTGCTTGAGTGCTGTGAGGATAAAGCCGAAGTGCAGACCTGAGTCTCTGACGGCTCTTGGAGCTGGTCCCTAGTCACCTGCTGCCCGACATGAGTCCTTTGCTCCTAACAGACTCAAACAGAATGTGTGCTCATGCACAGCAACCGCTACACGCCTCGCCTCGCCTCTCCGCATTCAAAGAATGGGCTTCCCGGTCTTCCAAAAGACCTCTTTTCTTCTGTTAAAATATGTGTAACACAATCAGAGATGTTGTGGAAGGCTGCCAAATTCCAGAAATTGGAGTCATGGACCTCTCCTTTCCTGCACCAAACAGAAAACACACCCCAGATTGTCCTGATCCTTGAGGGTCTACAAATAGAGCTTTGTTGCTCCTGTAACTCACCAGCTTGGTGTGGAAACGCCTCTGTTTGAAGATTCAAACATGGTTAGTGACTCACCTGGGGGAAGTGTGAATTGTCTGAATTACAGTTTCTGTAAGAGAGAAGGAGTTTGCAGATAAGACAAACTCCATCACTCCAACCTAGCAGCTTTGCAGATGAGATCTCCAGGAAGCTAAGCAGTGCCAACGGTGTGTGTGCCAATTAAAGAGAATGTCGGGTCATAAAATAATGGCAGGTGCAAAGGCTCAGCTGTGGGGACTTCCTCAGTGCTTGTGTTCACGTCGATGTCCAGTCTTTGGTCTTACCAGGAGATGGCATCAGAATGCCTTCAAGAGCCCCTCACCCCAACACTTGCCAGGCCAGCCACACCAAAAGGAGTTCTTTCGGAAAACCAGGGTGAGCATCCTCCGAGAAGATCCAAGTGGTCTTTGTTCCTGTCTGCAGTGTCTGAAATTCCAGACTTTTCTTTTGTTATCTTGTTCACTTAATCCTGTGCTGTCCTCGAACCCATGAGATACCCCAAGCTGCTGCAGCTCCCAAAATAGACACAAATATGTCTTGGGGGTGGTAACCACACTTTGTCCCCTGAGAAAGGCAATCCACACAGCCGGGCTCAGTTCAATTATGGGAATTACAATTCAAGAGAACTATAAAGAATATGTGTGAAGAGTTATGTGCAAGGATTCTCACTGTACTTCATTTAAAATAGCAGAAAGCTGTGACATCAGTGTTCCCAGGGTGTGTACATGATGTCCATTTTGTTTATATACTCATGTATATAAACATGTGCACTCATCTGAGTACTATAACCCTACACTTATATAGATATTATAGATCTACCTTACACTTGACCAGTCTGAGAGAAAACACAGAGAGTGTTAATCAGCGTGACTATTCAGAGGTGGGTCACGGCAGGTGCATACTTACCAGCTTGCTTACAGGTTCTAATTTATTTTATAGTGTATATTACTGGCAGGGTGAAAGGGGAGTAAGATAATCAAGTATTGTAACTTCAGTTGGGGTGGGGCCGGGCTGTGGCTGACCGGTTGCTAAGTGCATTTCTCAGGAGGACAGCTATGTATCATCCTCACCTGTGAGCCGCTGGGGGGACCAGCCAAGGCTGCAGCCATCAGTGCCTGATGGTGGTCCCAGAGCTGAAGGGAAGATCGGAAACTCCTCCCCACTAGGCTGAAAAAGGACAAGAGACCTGTGATGTTCAGCGGACCAAGGCGCTTTCTCCAGCTTTCCTCCCTGGCAGATAGGCCGTGCGTGCACTAAAGAATAGCACCAAAGTCACCCGCGCAGGAGCGGGTGTCCCTGGAACCCACCAGGGGCTGTGGTGAGGGTGAAGTGGTCTCCTGAGCTGCCTGCTGAGCTAATGAACAGCTGCCCACAGCTGGGACCCAGAGCACCAAGATAAAGACCTTTCTTTTCTTCTTTCCCGGCTCCTCCTCCTCCTCCTCTGTCTCCGCCTCCTTCCCAAACAGGGTCTCTCACTTTCACCGAAGTTGCCAAATAGGCTAGGCCAGGGAGCCCCAGACATCTGCCCACTCCCACTCCCTCAGCTCTGGGATTACATGACTCGGCTAACACACCCGGCTTTTTTATGTGGGTTCTGGGAAAATCCAGGCCTTGAACAGCAAGCGATTGACTGACTGACCTAGCTCCCGGTCCCTAAAACTTATCTTCATGGATTTCATTGATTTCCTGTGATTGTCTTGTTGTGTTGTACAGAGCATGTCTGTTAGAGTAACAACAGCATGACTGACAGGTCACTTTTACACCAAGTCCAAACTTAATTCTGTTCTAGGTTCCTCCCTGCACCCCAGCTCCAGGTCCATTTCTGGGACACTCGGGCCTCTCCTTCCCTTCAAGACCAGCTGCTCTCCAGTATTGTCCTGAGAGGGGAGGACAGAGGGGGGACACAGGGTAGCCTCCTCCTTTTGGGGTTGTTCGACACCCTGACATTGGTCCACTGGCTTTCTCTAGAGATCTTGGTGAGTTCCTCAGGGGGACACACAGGGCAGGGAATGGTGTAGAGTGTAGTGGCTGTAGAGCCACTAAATGTAGGCTCTACAGACTCCATAAGCACAAGTTCCTCAAGAAATACGGGAGAAGCAGCTGGGAACAAGCATGGGCTTCTCTCTATCACCTGTCCCAGCCCTGCCAAGGTAGGTAGGTGGCTTTGGCTGGTCCTGGCAACTCGGTTTTCCATACTCATTTCTTCCTCCAAGCCCGGCCTCTGCTCCAAACCCTGTGCTGGTAAGCCCGCAGTTATCTTCAGAGCAATGTCTAAGCAGGAACTGGATTCACATCCTGGTATTTGCTAGACTCCCCCCCACCCAGCCCCCACTCCCGGGGGCTGAGGATGTAGCCCAAGGGTGGAAAGAGTTAAACATCTAGGCCACAGAGAGGAGTGAGGCACTTTGAAAATGAACTACGGCTATTTAAACACAGACCCAGGGCACTAAGTTCAACCCCAGCGCCACAAAACCCCAGCAACCCTCGGTGAAAAGAAAACACAGCAATCTCCATCTTCTGTTGCCCCCACTCCCCGGGAACGGAAACAGCTGACTCACATCCCCGCGTCACATGACTCTTTTACATCTCTGTGTTCTTCCCAGTTTTTCTAGGCAAAGGTGTGGGAGGTTTGACCCACATAAGTCACCTCTTAGGAATCCCGGGTTTCTGGCCTGAACATTGGCTTCCTGAGGGACCTCCTTCTTGGGTCCGAGTAACCAAAGGAACGGAAACTGGCTCAATCCAGAGCCTGTCCGGGGTTCTCCTTCCCTTTCTACGAGCGTTCTTTTATGTGGGTTCTGGTCCTGGAATGCAGGCCCCAAGTACACCACCCTTACACTCTTGCTGGCTCTGATAGCACTGTTCTCCTGGGGCCTAAAGTTCACTGTTTCCTTACAGCTTGACTGTGACAGGCCTTGGCGCCCTTCACCTTCCTGGTGTTCGAGCCTTACCTGACTCAATGGCAGACATTCTTTCACTTACAATGTCTTACTTTATTTGAGGCAAGGTCTCACTGTGTAGCCCAGGCTGGGCTTGAACTCCCTGATATCCCCCTGCCTCTGCCTCCCAGCTGCTGAGACGGAAGGTGGGAGTCACCAAGCCTCACTTTCTGTTCATTCTTAGTTTGTGCACATTGGTGTTTCGCCTGCATGGAGGTCTGTGTAAGGGTGCCGGGTCCCCTTGGAACTGGAGTGAAAGACGGTTGTGAGCCACCATGTGGGTGCTGGGAATTTAACCTGGGTCATTTGGAAGAGCGGTCAGTGCTCTTAACCACTGAGCGGTCTCTCAAGTCCATTAGGACTGTTTTTCTTGTTTTGTTTTGATCTATCTGTCTATCTGTCTGTCTATCTTGTTTGTTTTTCTTTTTTTGGGGGGCGGGGGCGGGTTCCGAGACAGGGTTTCTCTGTGTAGCTTTGCGCCTTTTCCTGGAACTCACGCTGTAGCTCAGGCTGGCCTCAAACTCACAAAGATCCGCCTGCCTCTGCCTCCCGAGTGCTGGGATTAAAGGCGTGCGCCACCACCGCCCGGCTTGTTTGTTTTTCAAGACAGGTTTTCTCTGTGTAGCCCTGGCTGTCCTGGAACTCCCTCTGTAGACCAGGCTGGCCTGGAACTCAAGAGATCCATCTACCTCTGCCTCCCAAGTGCTGGAATCAAAGGAGTGTACCACCATTGCCTGGCACCAGGCACTTTAAAAGCAATTTTTAGTATTTTTCTGGGATGCTGTTAATAGTCTGATCCTGTCAAGACTTAACTTTAAGTCTTGTTAGGAGGAGCCAGAACTGTCTCTAGTCAAGCTGATTAGGCTCCATTACTGAGATAATAGTGGAATCCTCTGCTCAGGGTTCTGTGGAAGAAAGGAGCAGGACTCTTCCCTGTTCAGTATGAACTCTAGAAAGTCCTTCTTCGGATTATCTTGGGTGATTCCTTCTCCAGCCTTGTGGGGTTCCCATGTGCGTGTACTGATTCACACTCAGCTTAAGACGCCAAGGAACATACTATAGAACTGAAGGTGTATTTCTCCTCTGCAGTAATCTGCCCTGTGAATTCGGGGCCCCCGACCTTGGATCCCAGATCAACTCCACTCAGGAGTGTTGCTGGACTCCACCAGTATTCCCCTCTGGAAGTGGCCAGGGAAGCCACAGGGTCCTGCTGACCTCATCACCAACTAATCGAGTGACTTTGAGTCTGCCACAGAAGACTCTCTCGAACCCGGAGCTCTCTCGGGATTAAGCAGGGGTGAGCATAAGACGCGTTTGTTTCCACTCAGGAATTCCTCCCCTGTGCTGTCTGTGGTCCTGGGGCTGAACGTCACTGGTTTAAACAGTTTAAGTGAGGTGTGGTGGCATGTGATTCTAATCCCAGGCACTCTGGAGGCGAAGGTACAGAGATTATTTGAGTCCACAAACTCAAGGCCAGCCTGTCTCAAAGGAAAAAACAAAACATGTGTCTGGTGTTTTCTTTCAGAACCAAGTCTTAGGGGCTGGCCACTTCTGGAAGTCTCTAGAATCATGCATATTAGCTTCAGCTGGACTTCAGAGACCATCTAATTCCATATCATTCACTTGCCCTGGAGAAACTGAGGCAGAAGAAAGCCATTTGCCCTGGTTCCCCCGACTTCAGGTGGGAATTATTTGGGGAGAAAAGAAAGAGTTTGGAGAATTTGACTCATGACTCCTGCGTGTTAGGGTGTAAATTGGGTCAGCCGCTCCCCAGGTCTCACGACCTTCCTCTTCTGACACTCGCCTCGTTCCCAGCCCCCGTGGTGCCAGCCTCGACTGCCGTTTCTGCGTTGAACATGGAGGTACTTCCTCCTCTAGATACCGTCTACCCCGGCCACTTCTGGAATAATGGGATATCGTGAAACCGAAGCACCAGCATGAGGCAGACAGCAGAGTTGGGATTGGAGCCGAGGATCAAGGACCACCTAAGGGGGAGCTTGTGGGTCATTTCGTAGACAAGGAAACTGGGCCCCACCAGGTGCGCTGCCCTCCCCAGGCTGAGACTGGTTTTACACACGTATGTTCAAGCATTAAGTGTTTGCCTCTTATTATTATTTTTTGTTTGTTTGTTTGTTTAGAAGAGATCTGACTCTGTATCCTAGGCTCTCACCTTGTACTCCTGGTGCTCCTTCGTCAGTTTCCCTCCTGAGATATGACATTCTAAGCATATACTACCACATTCAACAATGATTTTGCCTATAGCACCTGCTGCGAACCAGCTCTCTGTTAAAAGCTTTTCGGTGTCTCTGTACATGTGAACTGAAGAGATATAGAATATATGCACATATTTTTAAACAGTCTGCTTCGCTTGTTGACCCATAAGGTGGAGTGAGGATTCCCACCAGAAGCCTGGGCTTGCTAGAGGACAAATGTCAGCTCAAGGAGGAAAGAAGAGGGAAAGACAGGAGGGAAGAGGGAGCCAGCCCATTGCTCCGTCATTTAGAAGCCCCTGGAGCCGGGGACAATGAGCAGATCAGTATCTCTGTCCTTGCTCTGGGTGTTATTTAAGGAACTGCCCCCACCCCATCTACTTGAACACAACACGAAGCACACACTTCTCAGCACGTAAAAGTGGGGAGGTCCCTGGTCTTCCTGCGCGGACAGCCTTTGCTCTGCCTTGTTGACCAGTGGTCACAATAGGGCCTTTCATTGCAAGGCCACACGGTCCCCTGCAACGTGACCTGGGAGCTGGCAAACCCTCCAGGACAGCACAAAGGAACGGAACTTGTCTTTGTGCTGGGAGTGCGCAAGCCAGTCGGCAGGGTTTGGGGTTGCTCGGTTCCTCCTCTGTTCAGGCAGGGCTCGGCAGCTCAGCGGCTCTTTGGCCCCACCCCCTCCTGTCCCTCTGCAGCTCCCAGTGGTGGGCCAGTGCTGGGCCAAGCTCCTTGGGCAGAAGGAATCAGCAGGGTCCCGGTGAAGACCACCTGGGGAAATGTGCACCGTGTATATTTAAAAGCATTTGTAGAGTTGACCCCACTGCGCACGTGGTGATCATTATTTTAACTTCTTTAACTTGGACGTTTGCAGAGAGCATTCACTTAGGCCAAGTCTGAAAGAGGAAGGTTGTGGAACTGGGTCAAGAGGAGGTGTGTGATGACAAAGCGCACTTTGTATTAAATGATGGGAGAAGTGTTCCAGACGTGTATTTGTAAAGCAAACTCTTTGCATGTTATGTAATCGTCCCCAGTGGCCCTATGGCAGGTGGAGGGACCTTCAGACTCTGTACTTAGCCACATGGAGCAAATACTTCCCTGGGGTGAGATGGGGGAGCAGGGTACAGCTGCCTGGACAGGTCTTCTGTCCATTGATTAGTCCCTGTCCCTTCACGTGGACAGGAAGATGATAGACAGCAACTCTTCAGGCTGGAGAAATGTCTCAAGAGGTCAAGAGCACGGTCTGCTCTCACAGAAGACCTGAGTTCAGTTCCCAGCACCCTCACAACAGCTCAAACACCCGTAATTACAGCTCCGGGGGATCTGATGCCCTCTTCTGGATCTTGCAGGCACTGGCATTCACATATACAAAGACACATGCCTCCCCCCACCCTCCATATATACACAACCTAAAGTTTTTAGTATTTAAAGAAAAAAAAAAAAGCAACCTAGGGGGCTGTAGAGATGGCTCAGTGATTAAGCCTACTGACTGTTCTCTCAGACATCCCGGGTTTAATTCTCTGAGTTGCACCCACATGATGGCTCACAACTGTCTGTAACTCCGGTTCCGGGAGATCTGACACCCTCTTCTGAACTCTGCAGATTCTAGACATAAATATGGTGCACACACAGACAAGGAGGCAAAAGACCTAGGTCGTTTATAAATAAAAATAAGTTTTATAAATATAAAATAAATAATAAATAAATAAATTTTAAGGGGTTGGGGATTTAGCTCAGTGGTAGAGCGCTTGCCTAGCAAGCGCAAGGCCCTGGGTTTGGTCCTCAGCTCCGGAAATTAATTAACTAATTAATTAATTAAATTAATTTTAAAAAACAACCCCAAAACTTTTCATATGAGTTTATTGAACATCTACTATGGAGATTGGTGTCCTCTGTCATCATATTTTTATTGTGGACTAGTCACCCGGGAGATATAAAAAGCTATGGAAATATTGATGACAAAAATCAACATTGTTTATTGAATCTTTAGTGTCCACCGGACCCTCCCCGTGCAGTAACATACAGTGTTTGTAACAATCTCCCAGAAGAGGAAGAAGGATCAGGAGTCAGAGTTCAAACCTAAGGGAAGAGCACCTGCAGACAAGGGCTCCGATGGTACCCAGGAGGCAGCTAGGAGAGTCAGTGTGGGGGGGCATAACTAAGGGTGAGTGGGGTCCACAGACATTCTGGCTCCAGGATGGAGACAGGGAGAGAGAAAACAATTCCTGCTCCATCCGGATGAAGAGAGAGAAGTGGCGGGGTGCTGAGGGAAGCCTTGTCCTTCTCTCTGGCTCCTCTGGCCACATGGACACGCCTGCTGGCCAGGTGCACCCTCGCTGGCAAATAGAAGCGCACACCAACGTGTCTGTTCCCTGTTAAGCCAGGGGAACAGGGTGCAGGTCTGCAGGCTGGAGAACACCAGGCAGACGGAAGATGTTGACAAGTCAGACTTCTGTGGGAACAGAGAAAGGCGGGGTGTAACATTTCAGAAGAGGTTTTTTTTTTTTTTTTTTTTTTGAAATATTAAGCTACTAACAAAATCCTAACAGTCCACAAGACAGACAGTGAGAGAGGTTAAATGCACAGGAAGGAGTCTGGATTGGGACTGTTTTGTCTCAACACGTTGCTACTGTCACATTTTCCCAGTGTCTAAAATCATCAGGCTCCAAGATGCTTGCCTGTTATTTATGAGAAGTTGTTTCTAGACCCTCGGAGGAAAAGCAAACAAGCCCCACGACATGAGTTCAGGCTGGAGTCCCTGCAAACGGGTCCCTTCCTCCTGTGGAATGTGTAATCAGGATTACGACTGAATGAGCCGTTGAACTGACCCGGTGCTAATTGCAAGCCTGGGGTCTGTCCCTGGTTTTGCTTGGCAGACCAGATGTTGGTGAGAAACTAAAAGGGAGGGACCCCACCCTGCATCCTGATGCCTGATATCAGGGTTCAGGGTGGTACCGAGACAATGCCCTCCTGAGGAGCAGGCTCTCAGCCTGCCTGGTGTTTACCGAGAGACATGAAGGGTGGATGACTGACTTCCCATTCTCCCCTTCGCTCCAATTATGCCTTTAATAAACAGAAGGCCATGTGGAGGTCACTTGTCTAAGACAGACTTGAAAGGAACAGAGTGAACAATAAACCCAATTCCTCTGCATCAACAACCTGAGCCACATTCTGCTTCCACTGTCTTTGAATTAAAGGGGCACAAAACGCTGCTCCCCTGAACCCTGAGGCCTCAGCAGAGGAGGCAGTCCAGATGATCGGAATCTCTCTTCCTTGGACCCTCTCCCTGGCCCCCTCCATGGTTCTCTTTGTAGATCAGAGACACTGAGGAAATTAATCTTGAGCCATCTGACCAGCTGAGAGGCATCAGGTAATTCCCTTTCGCAGGTATAATCTCAGGCTGTGTGTGTGTGTGTGTGGGTGTGTGTGTGTGTGTGTGTGTGTGCGCGTGCGTGTGTGTGCGCGCGCTCATACACATAAGACAGCACAGAGGCCACAGACTGTCAGCAAGCATCTTCCTCAACTGTTCTCCATCTTAGTTTTTGAAACAGGGTCTCTCACAGGACTTCACCTCAAGTTTCAAGATTCAGCTAGCCTGGCTGACCAGCGGCTCCAGGGACCCTACCTCCCTAGGACTGGGATTACATGCAAGCCTGACCTGTCTTTCTGTCTTTCTTTCTTTCTTTCTTCTTCTTTCTTTCTTTCTTCTTTCTTTCTTTCTTTCTTTCTTTCTTTCTTTCTTTCTTTCTTTCTTTCTTTCTTTCTTTCTCCCTTTCTTTGTCTTTCTTTTCTTTCCCTCCTTCCTTCTTTCTTTCTCTCTCTCTTCTTTTTATTTATTGGGGGGTGGGGCAGGGCAGGGAGAGGTGAGCACACACACCTGCCCACAGAGGCCAGGGGAGGGTGTTGGATCCCTTTGGAGTTTGAGTTACAGGGGTTTGTAAGCCACTTGATGTGGGTGCTGGGATCTGAACTCTGGGCCTCTAACAGAGAGAGCAGGGAGCACTCTTAATCCCCAAGTCTTTTCAGCCTGAGCCTGGCTTTTTAAAGAGGGTTCTGGGGCTCAAACTCAGGTCCTGTTTGAGCTACAAAGATTTTTCTCACTGAGTCATTCCCCCCGCCCCCAGCCTGTCAGGCATTCTTTTAAGAGTTTTCTTTTCTTTCTTTCTTTCTTTCTTTCTTTCTTTCTTTCTTTCTTTCTTTCTTTCTCTCTCTCTCTCTCTCTCTCTCTCTCTCTCTCTCTCTCTCTCTCTCTCTCTCTCTCTCATTTTATTTATCTATTTATTAACTCCTTCAGACAGGATCTCACTATGTAGCCCTGGGCTTACATGATTCTCTTGCCTCAGCATCCCACAGAGGTATCTCCTTACTGTTGGGGGTAATGCACAGAAGGTGTTGGCTCCATTCAGGGTCTCCAGACACGTGGTCTCAGAAGAGAAAGTAACCAACCCCACGTACATTCTCCCTACACTACAAAGTCATCCTTTCTTTGTGCAATTGAGAAGACCCTTGCATTGACTGACCCACCAGGGCTATAGTACCGTGAAGCTTCTCCCCAGCACCTGGTGGCCAAGTAGGAACATTTTCCTCCCTCCCTCCCTCCCTCCCTCCCTCCCTCCCTCCCTCCCTCCCTCCCTCCTTCCTTCTTTCTGTTTTGTTTTTCAAGACAGGGTTTCCTGTGTAGCCCTGGCTGTCCTGGAACTCACTCTGTAGCCCAGGCTGGCCTCGAACTCACAGAGATCCACCTGCCTCTGCCTCCCGAGTGCTGGGATTTAAGGTGTGCCGCCGTCAGAACCACCTCCCAGCGGAAACATTTTTCTTTCACACCTCGCACCTCTGCTGGGATCGAGCCTGGTTTTAAGCCAATGAAAACACACCACAGGTGTGCTCACTTGTTTGTTTGTTTGAACCCTTACAAAAAATCGGGTAGATAAAGAACCTGTCATCTGTTTCCACAACTCAGAACACTGAGTAAAGCGCTCAGTGATGCTTACTCCTGGTAACAGTTTTCCTGTCGAGAATGGTTCAGAAAGCTGTTGCCAACGGCACACTGTGAAAATGTTAAGAATAGCGTCCATGCGGTGTGTGGCTGCTCTGGAGGGTGGGGTCCTGTGTAAATCAGTACCCTTTCCATTACTTCCTCAG